TGAGTCTTTCAATCGACCCATTTGAGTTATATTTGATTTGATACACCCAATGACTCCCAAGAGCCTTTTTCCCAGGTGGGAGATGTTCAAGAGTCCAAGTTTGATTGTCTTCGAGGGCCCGGATTTCATTTGTCATAGATTCTTTCCAACCTGTATGTGTCATCGCCTCCTTAAAAGATTTTGGTTCTTTTTCAGAAAGAATTGCTGCGAGAAAAGTTCTGTATGGTACAGAAAAATTGTCACAATTTATATAATGTGCTAAAGGATAGGGAGTACCTGAGGGTGACTGTGGAGACGGTGTGACGGAGGATGGACTTTTAGCAACAGTAGAATTAATAACATAGTCGCGCAACCACACTGGAGGAACTTTATTTCTCATACCCCGACCCATCTCAACATTCGGATCCTGGTTATTTGGAGCAAGAGTACTAGTGTGTTGTTCAGGTTGTGAGCTGAATTCGGGTGTGGAGTTTGACTCTGGTTGAGAGGTTGTCTCTGGTATGGAGCTTGGCTCAAGTTGAGGGTTTGGTTCGTAGGTGAAGCTGGGCTCGACTTCTTCAACAATTACAGAAAAATCTTTGTGAACAAATTCTTCATGAGGATTGGTAGTCGTTTCTGTGAGGGGAAATGGAAAAAAATCCTCAAAAAATTTCACATCGCGGGAAACAAAAAATTCTTTGGTGTCAAGATCAAACAGCTTCCAACCCTTTTTCCCAAATGGATATCCCACAAAGATGCACTTTCGACTCTTGCTAGCAAATTTATCTCCTTTTGCTTTTTGATTGTGGGCAAAGCAAAGACACCCAAAAACACGAATTGTGTTGTAAGATGGAGGACTACCAAAAAGAATTTCATAAGGAGTTTTGTTACCAAGCAACGGTGTTGGTGTCCAATTTATAAGATGTGTGGCCGCAAGAACACATTCTCCCCAAAAATAAATTGGCAAATTGGCTTGGAATCTCAAAGCTCTCGCTACATTGAGAATATGTTTATGTTTCCGCTCAACCCTACCATTTTGTTGAAGAGTTCCCACACAGGAAGTTTGAAATAGAATTCCAGTATCAGAAAAAAAAATCACTCAAGCAATTGAATTCAGTACCGTTGTCACTCTGAACGACTTTGATTGATTGAGAGAATTGTCTATCAATCATAGCCACAAAACACAAGAACAGTTTAAAAACCTCAGTTTTATCCATCATCAAATAAATCCAAACTGCTCGCGAATAATCATCTATTATAGTCAAGAAATAACGTGCACCACAAGAGGATTGATGTTTGTAAGGACCCTACAAATCACAATGTATTTTCTCAAATATTCGAGATGCTCTGTTATTACTCAAAGGAAACTTATCTCTAGGTTGCTTAGCACGAAAACAAACCTCACAAGCTTTATTAAAACTTCCCACAGCAGTGCCAACAGACGGAAGTAGTTTTACCACTTTTTCAGATGGATGACCCATTCGTTGATGCCAAAGATTGACTGAACTTGTTACACCATTTACTGTAGGATGTTGCACTGAATCGATTCCCTTGAAGTAGTAAAGTCCATCCCGTCTAACACCCGTTCCAATCAGTTCCCCCGATTGGTCCTGTATAGCACACATATAAGAGTTAAAGTGGACATTGCTATGCATAGCATCATTTAACTGAGAAACAGAAATAAGATTGCAACTTAAAGACGGAACATAAAGGACATGATTAAGAACAATTTTGTCTGTTAATCGAACCGAGCCTTCTCGAGTTGCAACCACTGTTTTTCCGTTGGGTAAACCAACAGGGCAATGAAATATATCTTTTGCATCAGTCATTCGAGTGGAATCACCAGTAACGTGACGAGAAGCCCCTGTGTCAATTATCCACAACCGTGGATCAAATTTACTATTCAATTGATCATCAAAAATCTCTGTACCACTAATCAGCCCTGTTAATGTCTGCGGCTGCTCGTCGTCAGTCATTGATGAGTTTATGCGCAGGTATAAACCTTGGCGACTGATACCATGTAGAATACAAATAAACAAGAAGAAGAGGAAAAACTAATATACTGTGTCTTGTGTCAACTTCAATACAAGCACTTGTATATATAGTGCTAACAAGATGATGAAAAATAAATACAAATGAGAAAACAAAGAGACACATGAAAAACCCAAGAGACACATGGGAAACTCAAGAGACATGGAAAACCCAAGAAACACATGACTATTAATATAGATGATTAATATCATCAAATATCTCAACAGATTCCTTCCATCGAATGTTCTTTGATAATGATTGGGTGAAAACTGAAAAGTAGGAAAAAGTTTCAATATCAAAATCTGTTATAAAAATTAAATCTCATGACAAGTATATTCCTAATTCCTACAAATAGATTTAAGGTTAAGGTTAGCGAGGAGAGGATATGAGTGTATCAACACAGATTTAAGGTTGTAGTGTTGGACAGGATGTCAATTTTAGTTCCAACTCAATAAAATCGAAAAATTTTAGAGTTAGGCCCGAAATATTTTAGCTCGATACAAATTAGCCTAATAAGCTAGAAATCGATAAGTCTGGTTGTCCGAATAGGCAATTTATATTCTACACTACGGCGCGCGTTGCACTGTGTGCCCAGATGTAAAACGACGTCGTTTTAATTTTTTTTTTTTTTTTTTGAAATTTCCCGCCAAAGAGAATGGCAGTAATTTTTTCTTTAAAAAAAACCCGCTGTTCAAAAATGTACATAATGTTATACTAGAATACACATAATTGTATACATGAATGTACATAATTATATAACAAAATATACATACTCTTTTTAAAAGATAATACACATAATCTAACATAATACATAATAAACATAAACTTTTAACATAATACACATCAACTCTTAACATAATACACACAAATTTTCTGATTCGAATGTACATAGTTGTATAAAAATAATGTACATAATTGTATAAAAAATGTACATAACTGTATGAACAAATACACATAATTGTGTGAACAAATACACATAATCACAGCAACTTCCTACCGCGCCTCCAAAAATGACCCCAAAACGACGTCGTTTTGGGAGGCGCGCGCCGTGATGTAGGGTATAACGATTGGTCCGAATAGGCTAAACCAAATTAAGTGGGCTAACCTAATAACCCAAGTCACTTAGGGGGCGTTTGGTTCACGGAATCTTGGATTACCCCAGGTAATAGGATTACCTCTAGGAAGGTAATGTGAGATTTTGGGTATGTAAGATTACATGATGTGTTTGGTTTGGATGGTGGAATATAATATTACCTTGTTTGGTTAAGGGTTATATTTTAAGTTATATGAATTAATTTATAATAATGTCATCAATAATATATATATATATATATATATATATATATATATATATATATATATATATATATATATATAATTTATGTGTATGTATTTATTTCATTTATTTATTTATATGTATGAATGTATATCATTTGCTTAAATATTAAAAAAAAAAAGTAAATACACACACACACACACACACACACACACACACACACACACACACATATATATATATATATATATATATATATATATATATATATGTGTGTGTGTGTGTGTGTGTGTGTGTGTGTGTGTGTGTATTTGACTGTATAAACATATATTTATTTTATTATTATTACTATTATTATTGTAAGGATTAGTTAACAAGGGCAAAGTTGGAATAATTCAAGGTAATCTAAGATTACTTAAGAAAATGGGGGTAATCACATTATCTCGAAACATTACCGCCACATCAGTTTTCAGATAATATAACATTACCAGGTAATCTCATAACTTGAACCAAACAAGGTAATATAACATTACCAGACTCAGATTACCTAGGTAATCTAAGATGACCTGAACCATAATATATTAAAGTTCATAGGTAAGTTTATCTTTACTATTTTTTAAATTAATTTTTAAATGAAATTTTAATAAATATATTACAAAAGAAAATAGTTTTTATGAAAATAAATAATGAAAAATTAATAACTTATTATAAATATTATATTAAAGGGTAAGTATTAATTATTTTTAGCTAAAATTTAGAAATGGAGGTTTATATTGATTGAAGGAATAAGGGTCAAATAGGACATTCAACTGCACACAATAATTCAATTAGGCCACTGAAGCTAAAAAGCCAACAATTGGGTCCCTAAACTAACCAATTTCAAATAATTCTTCCAATTTGAAGGTTTCCAACAGGTCAACAGGTTATCCTTCCAAATAAATTATTTTTTAAAAAATAAAATTTTAAAATTAATTATTTAAATTAAAAAAAAAAAAAACAGGATCGGCCGGAGACGAAGAAACATGGAGACGAAGAAACTGGCCGGAGATGGTTGTCTCCGGCCGGAGACTGTTTTTTTTTTTTTTTTTTTTTTTTTTTTTTTTTATTTAAAATAATTATTTTTAAAAAATAATTAATTTGAGAGGATGACATGTTAAGCTGTTAGAAACCTTGAAATTGGAAGAATTGTTTAAAATGGTTAGTTTAGGGACGTAATTGTTGGTTTTTTCAGTTCAGTGGCCTAATTGCATTATCGTGTGCAGTTCGATGGCCTATTTGACCCATATTCCTTGATTGAATGATGATGTATACATTTATATTAATTAGTGTAAGTTAGTTTATTAAAATTGAAAGTTTAGAATGTTAATTTAAAAATGTCAAAAGTTTTAGTTAAATTTGCATGATAAGCCCGACAACCTGAGATCTTAAGATTAGGGTCAAGAATTTTGAACCAAAAAAAGAAGAAGAAAAGATTAACTCGAACCAATAAGTCAGACATCCCGAATCCTGATAGGGTTAGCTCGAAATCGAAACCAAACGGACTAGTTTGATTGACATCCCTACCCCGATAACATTACATATTTACATGCCGTATAGTGATTTTATAAAGTGGCTTGTATCATTTACATGTCATGAATTAAATCCTAACCCGTCGACGTCATGGGTGAATTTTTCGTGTGTTTCGTTCTCTTCCGCGCTTCATTTTGTTTCTATCATGACGTCTCGGAACTATCTTTTTTGGCGGACTCAGCTTCTGCCCTTTCTTGATGGTCAAGGCCTGTTAGGGTTCATTGACGGGAGTACGTCGTGTCCACTGGAGGAGTCGCCGGTTGCTGCTGCTGGAGCTATTGATGTGGTTTCTGCCTCTCCGGCTGCTGCTCGTGCGGCTTGGCTTCGACATGACAAGGCTGTCCTTTCTCTCTTTATTTCCTGGTTGTCCGAGGAGATGATACATCTTGCGGTTGGTCGGACGTCTTCCTGGCAGCTCTGGTTGTCGGTCGAACAGACTCTTGGATTGACGACTCGGGCTAGAGCTCTTCGCTTGGTATTGCAAGCCTTGAGGCAAGGAGATGCCTCCATTCCAGAATACCTTGGCCGTGCGCAGGTTCTCATCGAGGACTTGGCACTCGTCGGTCGTCCGGTTACTCTCGAAGACCAAAATATGTATATTTTCCGCGGCCTCCGGTCTGAATACCGGCCTCTGGTGGCGTTGTTGATGAGAAGTGCTCCGCTGTCGTTGAGCGAGCTGTCGGATTTTCTGGTCTCTTAGGCATTCATCTGTGCCGACGATGGTGCTGGGGTTGCTGCTGCTCTGGTGGCCATGGCAGTTCAGCGAGGCGGTCACTCTGGAGGGCAACGTGGCGAAAATAATCGCGGTTGCCGTGGAAAGGGTCACGACCGTGGTAGAGGTGGCAGTGGAGGTGGAGGTGGCGGCCGTGTTGGTGGTCACTCCGCTGCTTCCTACTTCCAGTGGTATGATGGTGCCCCTGGTCCTCGGGCTAACGTAGCTTATCCAGTGGATGAGGCGGCTTCCGTTGGTGCCGCGTAGTGGTTTTCAGACACTGGTGCGTCGAATCACACCACCTCGGACTCGTCGCTCATGACTTCCGCCGCTTCGTATGCTGGTTCGGACACTCTTCGTGTCGGTAACGGTAAATGCTTAACTATTGCTAGTACTGGTCTGCATCGGTAGCTTCTCCTACTAAATTGTTTCAGTTGTCTGATGTTCTTTATGTTCGGGGTATCTGTGTCTTTGTTGTCTGTTCAGCGTTTTGCTATGGACAATAATGCTTATTTTGAGTTTCACCCTGACTGTTTCTTTGTGAAGGATCGTTTAACCAAGGAGATCCTCTATAAGGGTCATGCGTCGGGGGATCTTTATTCCTGGCCTGTGTCTCGCCAAAGTCATGCAGCGATAGTGGCCTCTCATGCTTCTTCGTCCGTTTGGCATGGTCGGCTGGGTCACCCGCATTCCCGTGTTCTTCGCCAGATTTTAAATATTTGTTCGCCTAATTCTAGTGTTAGTGATAGTTCTATTTCGTGTCGTGCATGTATGTTGGGTAAATCCTCTTGGTTTCCCCTTCTTCGTGTTGAAACTACTACTACTCGTGTCTTAGAACTGGTTTATACTGATATTTGGGGCCCAGCGCCGTTGCTTTCTGTTAATGGATTTCGATATTTTATGTTGTTTGTCGATGACTATACTCGTTTTATTTGGTTCTATCCCATGCGTGCCAAAACAGACTTGTATGACATCTTTGATCAGTTTCGGTCACTTGTCGAACGTTTGTTTGGTCAAAAGATTATTCCTGTTCAATCTGATTTAGGGGGAGAGTACAAGCGTTTACATAACATGTTTGTCTCTCTTGGCATTAATCATCGATAATTGTGTGCTTATACTCACGAGCAAAACGGTCGGGTAAAGCGTAGGCATCGTCATGTTGTGGAAATTGGTCTAGCCTTACTAGCTCAGGCTTCGGTTCCGCAGTGTTTTTGGGATTATGCATTTGAGACTGCGGTCTATCTCATCAATAAAATGCCTACCCATGTCCTAAATAATGATAGTCCTCACGTTCTTTTGCATCGGTCTCCGCCCTCTTACTCTTTCCTACGTGTTTTTGGGTGCCTTTGTTATCCGTTGTTGCATTCATATAATCGTAACAAGTTGCAATACCGGTCTGCCCCTTGTGTGTTTCTTGGTTACCCTTCCTCGTTTCGTGGCTATCGTTGCCTTGATCCTGCTACTAACAAGGTTTTCATTTGCCGTCACGTACGGTTTGATGCAACCGTTCATCCGTTTGCTACTTCCTTGTCTGTGCATGCTTCTAAAACTGTGCCGGTTCCACCTTGGGGAGTTAGCGATGTGTGTGTGCCTACTGCGTCGGATGCTTGTGCCATGCCCCTTGTGTGTTTCTTGGTTACCCTTCCTCGTTTTGTGGCTATCGTTGCCTTGATCCTGCTACTAACAAGGTTTTCATTTGCCGTCACGTACGGTTTGATGCAACCGTTCATCCGTTTGCTACTTCCTTGTCTGTGCAGGCTTCTAAAACTGTGTCGGTTCCACCTTGGGGAGTTAGCGATGTGTGTGTGCCTACTGCGTAGGATGCTTGTGCTATGCCCACTGACTCCGAGGTTTAGCAAGTGGCTGCTTCCAATGCTGCTTCGTTGGCCTCTAGCTCGCGGACAGTGTCCGATTCTATTGCGGGTGGTGTTGTGCCTATCGGCTAAGCTGCTCACTCTCGGCCGGTCAGACGCAAGCCTAAGGAGCCACAGCCACACACACATGTCATGGTTACTTCGGAGCAAGGGTGTGACCGAGCATGTTGCAAGGGTGTGTCAGCGGCGTTATATGCAGGATATTCTGAAACGTACAGGTATGGTTGACTATAAGCCTCACGTCACTCTGGATTCACTCACTCGGCCCTCTACGGCTGTCCCGACTCCATACGCGAATCCTACATAGTTTCGGAGTCTTGCTGGGGCTCTGCAATATCTTACTGTTACGAGATCGGATCTCTCTTTTGAGGTGAACAGGCTTTGTCAGCACATGCACTCTCCCACCACTGAACACTGGCCATGCTCAAACGCGTTTTGCGTTATATTAAGGGAACTATTCACTTCGGTTTTCATATCCACAAGTCTCCTTCTGTTGCGGTGCATGCTTTCTCGAATTCGGACTAGGCTGGCGATCCAGATGACAGGAAGTCTACTTGTGGGTTTGCGGTTTTTCTCGGCAGCAATCTGATTTCCTGGGCTTGTCTGAAGCAGCGCACAGTGGCTCGTTCTTCCACTGAGGCTGAGTACAAAGCTCTTGCTGATGTCTCTGCAGAGGTTACATGGCTGGTTTCTTTGCTCCGTGAGCTTGGGGTAGATATGGCGGTGCCGCCTTCTCTTTGGTGTGACAATCTCGGGGCCACGTATCTTTGTGTCAATCCTGTGTTTCATGCTAGAACGAAGCACGTGAAAATCGATTATCATTTTGTTCGTGACAAGGTGGCTAAGAAGGAGTTACAAGTGCATTTTATTTCCACTAAAGATCAAGTGGAACCGCTACCTGGTCCACGGTTCACGTTTCTTCGTGGCAAGCTCAATATCATTGACTGTCCACCTTGAGTTTGAGGAGGAGTGTTAGGAATCCATTATCTGTGAGTAATTGTATTGTGATAGGACTCGTATTATTGTATTCATATACTCTTCTACAGTTTGGTATTGTGAATAACATAGTCAACACATTTCTCATCAAGATCAATATGATAAAATAAAAAGAATAAAAAAATTAATTAGCTTGTATCGATAAAGTCAATAATTTGATAGAGCTAGCCCGAAACCTTCTATGTTCACCACGTGATCAACCCACCGGTACAGAGCTACACATATACGGAGTAATATCTTTATCTTTGTGTGAGATGATGAGTTGGGGTCATGATTATTTGTGGGGTGGGGTGTTGACGCTAAACTACGAAATATTTGAGGGCCAATTCATAATATTCATAAGATTGAGAGGTTGAAATTTAATTAATGGCTATAGGAATGAAAAAGGTTGTACGTATGTGATTTCATCGTATTTGAGGAAGAGGAGTTGAAGAAAAAGAAGCAATTTAGGAATTAGGAAGAAGATGAACTACGAGAAAATTCCCCAAGAACCGTATCCACCTCCTGGTACTCCTACTCCTTCAATTCCGTTTCTGGATTTCAATTTTTTATTTTATTTTAAATTTAAATTCCCCAATCCAACTATACTATGATGCTCTCTCTCAATTCTCAATTCTCAATTCATGTTTCTTTCTTGTCTTGATTGATAATATAATAGGGTATGGGAGTGTATATCCTCCGCCTTCCGCGCCACCACCGCCGCCCTACGAAGCCTACCCGCCTCCGCCGCAATCCGTATATCCACCACCTCCAGGCTATCCTTATCATCCTCCTCCGCCGCAGCAGCATCCCGTCGGTTATCAAGGATATTTCAACAACCAGCAGCCCCCTCCTCCTCCATCACACCAGCCCTATCCGGTTTACCACTGTGATCATCACCATTGCGATGATGACAGTTCTGGTTGCATCTCTTTCTTGCGAGGATGGTATCATGCTCTTTAACCAACCCTCTCTTCTCTTCCTAGTTTTGCTTAGTTTCCTTTCCTTTCTTTTTTTTTGTTGATTGGTTTCTTTAAGCTGCCAGTCTATTTGAAATTGGTTTATTTGATAGTTTTAGGGCAGTGCTTGAAATCCAGAACCTTTCATCTTATGCTACTCTCTGCTTTTCTAGGGATGATATTATTATCTAATATCTAGTATAGCTCATTTAAGAAATGGGGGCAATGTCTGTTCCATTCAATTTCTGCATCTGTTAGCTCATCTCCATCTCCTTCAACCTTAATTTTGATTCAGGATTATTGGATCATTTGCTTGACATTTAATTTGCATTGGTTGAATGGTCCAAGCATTTCTGGAAATTGCTGCAACAGCATTCTAGTTGTAAATTTGTGTAATCCATAGATCTAAGCTGAAAACAGAACACCCATCACCTTCTGCTATGCAGATAGGCCCTGTTTGATAACATAGTTAGCTCATCAGCCAATTTTGGCTTATTTGACCACTATTAGCTGTTTGACTTGGTTAAACAATCAATATGAGTGTTTAATTAATTAGCTTTTTGTAACAACTTATTGCTCCAAAATGCTAAAATTCAAAAAGCTGCTCAAAGCAGCATTTTCGATTAGACTTTTGAGAAAGTCATTTTGCATGTAATCAGCTATCACTAACAGCTAATTTACCAAATACTTTTCTACAATCAGCTAATGTTATCAAACTAGTCAAACCCATTAACCCAATAAGCTAAAAGCTATCAGCTAACAGCTATTTACCAAACACCTCCTATATGTTTTGGCTTAAAAAATTGAATCTGAATAAGAGATTCAATTCATATTTATTTGGTTTTTTCTTCTTGAATCGTTTTTAAAGCTGCAATGCTACCTAACTATAACTTTCTCAGTCAATCTTTGGCAATAGATTGCATAATGCGTAGTAGTAATTTTTTATTGCCCAGTTGCTTTTTAAAAATTTTAAGCATTGCTCAATCCGTCGGCTTTCACTGTAGTCTGTGTATGTAAACTCATGCATTCTAATTTACAATAATGGTATATTATTTTTCTGCAGTGTTTCTTTAGTGTCTAGAGCTCCATTTGATACAAAAGCTTTTAATTTTGTTTTTGATGATTTCTTTTTATTTTTCTTCGTACACCTGCAGTTTTGCTGCTCTATGTTGCTGCTGCATATTGGAGGAGTGTTTTTTCTGATCCTTTCACTATACTTCCTTGACATTGTTATGGTGGGAAAATTGTGGTTATTGTTGGATTTGTCAGCTTTCACTGGGTTGTGTATCAGTGCCTTTGTATTTTGTGGGAAAAACCTCTGCTTATTATTATTATTTCTCTTCTAAGACATCTACCAGTCATCATGTTATCAACTATTATTGCTCTTATGGGACATTGTGGTATATTATTGTTGTAATTGGATGAGCTACTGTATATTTTTCTATTAGAGTTGATATACATATACTGAGTGTTACAAGCCACACCAAATGAAATCTGTTGTTGGTTCTCTGTATGAAGTGCATTTCTTGAGATTGGCTAACAATATAATCCCAAATTAGAGGTGGCCACGGGTTGGTTCAGGGTTGAAGCAATCCTGAATCGGTTCGGGAAAATGCGGACTTGGGTTTTTCTGGGCCTAGAAAGAGCTTAGTCCGAATTGGAACCGACTTATAGAGAACCGGCTCTGGTCCTATAAATAAAGCCCGTGGCCTAGCTTGAAATTGGCCCAGACTCAAGTTCATAACCAGCTCATAACCGGCCTAGGCCGGGCAAAAATAACACTATGCAGCCATGGCAGCAAAGCATGGCAAAGATACCATGCTTTGTTGCCATTGCTATTGGTTAACGATTTCATTACTGCAAAAAATTTGGCCGTTGCACGGGCCGATTGGGGTTTTTATTTTTATTTTTATTTTTTATTTACTTTATAGGAATAAGGTCCAAATTGGTCGAACAAAAAAACGGACAATTAGGCCATTGAACACTTCAAATGTATGCATGCAATTTCACTTGATAGTAAATTACCACCCATTTTATCAAGTTGTCTGTTTACGTGGATGGTGAGATGACATTTTTAATAATAAATTTTAAAAATTAAAATTAAAATTAATTTTTTTTTTGAAAAGAACGCCGAGATGGTCGTCGGCCACCCTCTTCCCCGGCCCCTCCTCCTTCGTCTATGGTTGGAGACGAAGAGATGTGTCTTCGTCTCCAACCAGAGATGAAGGAAGGGGGAAAGAGGGGGTGGCGTGTGACAGGTCATTCATTTCACGCCACCCCCTTCCCCCTCCTTCGTCTCCGGCCGGAGATGAAGGAGGAGGGGGAAGGGCCGACGTAAGCAGACAACTTAATGAAATAGATGGTAACCTGCTATCTGGTGAAAATGTGAAATTGTACGCATTTGGAGTGTTTAATGACCTAATTACATTTTTTTAGTGGCCAATTTAAACCTTATTCCTACTTTATATATACCCTTAATTCATTTTTACCAATAAAAATTCTCAACACAACACTCTTACAACAATTCTCTATACAACATAATTTTACTCTGAGTTCTACTACATGAACTCCCAAATTTTACTCCCTCATTTGTACTCCCTGAGGTGACAAATCAGGATTGGTTATTTTTATTATGTGGGTTCACATAAAAATGTCTACATCAAAAACATGTGAGAGGGAGTACAAGTTGAGAGTATAAAATGGGAGTACACCAAGTATTTTCTTTTTACTCTTTACAAATTTTATTACTCTTATTTATATTTAATTCTTTGATTTTTTTTTTCAGCCTCTTAAATTTTAATATTTCAAATTTTCAATTTCAATCTATAAATTTTTAATAACTTATAATCCTATATTTTTAATTCCTATACTCCTAATCTCCTATGACTTATAGTGACAATCCCGACAAGAGGTCAATTGATTTTTTTAATGAAGGAGAAGATTCACAAGAAATTGATCAACGTCAAATTTTTTCTACTCAAGAATGAATAGTTGATGTCAATCTTCTTCCTAGTCATGGACAAGGGGAGGAAATGAACAACATGGGTTTGGCAACAACTCAAAAAAATACTCATTGAAGGATCCTCTAAGCGATATTTAGTACATTGTAAAATATGTGCAAATATGAAGGGGAGTCAAAAACCAATTTCTTGACAATCCGGAACTAGTGGCACAGGAACAAACGCAAAATTGCTGGGGTATGCTACCACCGGTGGAGATATTTTTACTTATTCACGAGAATTAATGATTGAAGAATTTGATAGATTTATAATTGGTGATGAATTATCTTTTAGTTCGTCCGAAAGTACTCATTTTGAAGATTCATTAAAAAATTCTTTATAATCACAATATAAAAAAGTACCTAGAAGTGCTTTAAAACGTGCTATCTATACAAGTTTTTATATGTCAAATGTTATGTTAGTTAATTATTTTAAAAATTTTAATGGCCGTGTTGCTTTAACTAGTAATACTTGGACAACTCCTCAAAGTGAACGGTATATTTGTGTTACTTGTAATTGGATACTCCAAAAAAGAATGATTGGTTTTGAATTGATGGAAGAATCTCATACTGCTTTTAATTTAAATAAAAGAAAGAATAATAAATGTTTTGGATGAGTTTGGATTAAGAAATAAATTGTTTTCAATTTCTTTAGATAATGCTTCTTCCAATACTAGATCTATAGATCTTTTTACATGAAACCTTATCTTTATCTGTTAATGGTCAATTATTGCATATTAGATGGTGTGCTCATGTTCTAAATTTATGTGTTCAATAAGGACTTCATAGTTTGAGTGATTTAGTTGAACCAATTAGAAAATGTGTTAAATGACTTAGATACAATAGAAACAAAAACAAAAAAAAAACAAAAAAAAACAAAAAAAAAAAAGAAGGTGAATTTAAAATATTATGTGCACAACATAGTTTAAAAAAGACCCATTTTAATTTAGATACATCTACTCAGTGGAGTTCTACATATAAATTGTTATGTGAAACGGCTCCATATCATGAGGTAATACATACTTTGTATAATAGTAATCAAATTAGTGATGCTAGTGTAATTACAACTCAACATTGGGAAGTAGCTAGTAATGTTTGTGCAATTCTTCAATCGTTTGATAGTGCTACAAAATCATTTTCTTTATAGCTTATGAGCCTAATATTCATTTAGTTGTAATTAAATGCATTACAATTGTTAGTATTCTTTCTTCTTTTATTGGGGATCTTATTTTGTCTGATTTAGTTCAAAATATGATACATACATTTGTATCATATTTTAGTGATATTTCTTATATTTATGGTTTAGCTGCTGTATTTTGTCTGGTTTAGTTCAAAATATTTCTTATATTTATCGAATGGATTATTAGAATTATATTATAGCGCTTTGTATTTTTCAAACTATGTTCAATGTGTTCAAAAGTATATTGATGATTGTTCTAGTTTGTTAAAAAAAAATTATATGATGAATACTCTTCTATTTATGCACCACAATCTATTGATCCTGTTGTTGTCCATAAGAGTAAGTGACATAATTCTATTGTTTCAACAATATTAAAAAAATCAAAGGGTAGTGGTAGTGGTAATTCTTCTTAAATAGATACATATTTGTCTTCTAGTTTTGAAATAAATGATGATTATCATATACTAACATTTGGAAACGAAACGAAACGAAACAATATTTTTCTTTTTTGTTAACAATTGCAAAGGATATTTTTGCATGTCCTGCTTGAACAGTTGCATCTGTGTCTACTTTTAATGCCGGTAAGAGAGTATTTGATGATAAGAGATCAAGTTTTTCTCCGGATTCCATCAAAATTTGTGTCAAGAAGGGATTGGGATAAATGCCAAAAAACACTCAAGATCAACTTGCACTAAATGAAGAGGATGGCATAGATGAATAGTTGGCTATGGATACATCATCTGAAGCTACACCTATTGTTAGTTCTCGTGCAACCTCCGCCGGTACTTCCGATCAAGAATGAGAATGAGCTAATATCCATTGAGGTACGTACCAAGAACTACGTGGGCTTTGATTCCTCTAAATTACTAAGGATACCTAGGCATCTTAATTTTTTACAATATTAAGAGAAAACCCAATCATTTTTCTAAATCATTAAAAATAGAGATTTTTCGCAAAATTGCCCTCGACTATTGCTCATTCTCAATTTTGCATTTTGACGTTCAATTGCATCCAATGTGGTCCTTTGACTTTTAAAAACTCTCCCAAATTAGTCCTCCGTTAAATTTTGCGTTAACTCACCTTGAATTTTGAGGGCATTTTAGTCAGTTCACACACTTCGCGCCTATTGCAACTGCCATATAATCCCTTCTTCTTCAACGTCATCAACTTCGTCAAGATAGAGGTACCACTACGGAGATGCAATCCCTATGCGCATATGTAATTGTGGCAATGAATGGAGGATTCAAACGTCTTGGAGTAGCGAAAATTCCGGTTGAAAGTTTTGGGTTTGTGGAGGGAGCCATGTTTGTCAATATTCCTTATCTAATTTTGAATTCTTCTTTATTTTTAATATTGGTCAATATTTGGCAGTATTGTGAGCATTATTGAAATTGTTATTGACAGGGTGGTGTGGGATGTGGATTCAAAGAATGGTTTGATCCTCCAATGTGTGCACGTGCGAAGAAGATAATTCTTGGTTTATTAAGAAGTATGAATAGAAAAGATGAAAACATTGAGAGGTTAAATGCAATGTTAGGATTCTTTGTTTCATGATAATTATATTAGTTTTTTGTTTGGTGTACTTGTACTTTAACAGAAATGAAATTGATATCCTTAGTTGTAGAATCCCTTTGTATTGATTGGTAGTTATGATTTGGACTAATTCTCAAAAATGTACTGCATTGCTTATTTGGTAGCACTGTTTTGGTAAATCTGCAATAGCACTGTTTTGGTAAATATGAAAAATGCTAATGCATTTTGTGTACTGCAAGTGAAGTAGCCAACACATAACCATTTTGCTAATACTGCAATAGAAGTACCTAATGCATTTGGTACACTGGTAAATGCAAAAATGTGAAACTGGAAATGCATAAGTATATTGGTAAACTGGAAAAAATGCATAAACCATTTTGGTAAGCTGGAAAATGCATAACTTTAACCAAGTTGAAGAACTTGTCATATATTGCAATAGAAGTAGCCAAAAGAGTTGCACCAAATTGTTTGCAACTTAGAGCATTGATACACAGTATACCAAAACATTTATACATGCTTCTGTATACCAAAAAGATTGACAACAAAAAGCAATAATGAAGTAAAAATAATATTATTTCGAATTTTTAGAGGAATGCTGTAGGATAATGAAGAAAAAAAATAATTTTATTGAATTTAGATAGGTTTATAAAGTTTAAATAGGGAGAAAAAATGGAGTTTAAATAGAGAGATAAAACATTCAAAGTTGTTAGAAAGAAAATTTGGAATCTTGGGGTTGAGGGTTGGATTTCAACTATTTATATTTGAG